CCATGTCCGTGTTGTTGCCGGGCTTCTTGTTGTGTATGAGCGCTCGTTGTCGGCTAGCCTCCTCTTCCTTCTTGTGCCAGGAGGTCATGAACCTCTTAGCTCCCTGCAGTACCCCTGTAAGCCACGGTACACCCCGTTCCACCTTCGCTGCTTCCATCCAAGTTGTTTCCGGCACTCCGAAGAAGCATGTCTCGGTGTCCGTAGATCCGTGCTCTGCTTCGAATATTTTGAGGTCATCCTTCAGGCACGTCTGCCAGTTTTGCTCCGGTTTCCCCCTGCCTGGGCCCTCGCCCGCCACCAGCTCGCCAAGCATCAACCGTTTCGGGAACCGTCCACGTGGCTGCCTTGCCAATGCTCCCGCGAGCAGCAGGCGCCGTTGCCGAATAGTGGTTTCCACGCTCTGGCACCCTACCCTCTTCAAGGTCTGGGCGTAGGAAAGCTGCCGGTAGGTGCCCTTCTTGCGTTGGTAGCCGATAACTCGCAGTAGCAGCCGGTGGTGTATCGTCCGCAACGTCCGGTATTGATCTTGACGTGGGGCTCATGCCATGCAGCCGTACAGTAGTACCTCCGTCGCCTCGGCCTGGAGCAGGCGAGTCTTGAGTCGGAACGGTGCTCTCGGCATGTCGAAGAGCTCCTGACGATATCTCCTGACGCATGCCCACGCTGTCCTGCTCCGGTAATTGATCCGCCGGGTGAGGTCGCCATGTTCGTTGACGAGGCCACCTAGGTACCGGAATTCAGTAATCTGGGCGTACCTCTGCCCTGCTGCCTCGATGATCAGCGGTGGCGGCGGGGGGGGCGGTGGTGTTGGTGTGTGCTTCTCCTTTGCGCACATCAGGAGCGTCTCCGTCTTCTTCTCCGATACCGTCAGCCCGAACTCCTCGAACACCTCCACGATGAAGGCCATCATTCTCGCCAGTCCTTCGGCAGACCTCGATACGACGCCGGCGTCATCGGCATACAGGACGTTCCCCCTCCCGTCTCCTCCTCCATGTACACCAGGTTCTGCAGAATAACATCATCCTCCAGGAGTCGAATGTCCGCGGCGAAGAAGATGTTGAACAGCAGCGGGGACAGCACACACCCTTGTCGTAGGCCTTGTGTGACGCAGAACCAGGCCGAAAACTCTCCGTCGTCAATGCGCACCCGGGCTAGCATTGCGTCGTGGAATTGGCGAATGACGGCGATCATCTTCTCGGGGATCCTGGCCCTGGCAAGCCGCTCTCGGGTCCACCGAATCATGCGCCTTCTTCAGGTCGACGAAGCACATGTAGAGCGGTATTTCCTTCTTCGCCCCAGTTCCTGGAGTCGGCGCACGACAAACAGCATGTCGATGGTGGATCGCCCAGGTCGGAAGCCGCACTGTTACTCCGGGAGGATGTTGTTGGCTTCGTAGAAGGCACTTAGGCGGTTGGTGATGATCTTGACGGGGACCTTGCCTACGTGAGATAGCAGCGAGATCCCTCTGAAGTTGTTGCGGTTGGACCGGTCGCCCTTCTTCTATAACACCGTGATGGAGATCTCTCCTCCGTTCCACACCTTGAGGTCGTGCGTGTCGGACTTCGGAACCGAGTCCTGTCAAAGTGTGCAAGATCCAGTTTTGATTGATTGATTGGTTCAAACTGGGAACGTTCTCTTCAGTGTACGAACCAAAGCTTCAAGTTGTTCGCCGGCGTCAACTAGCGACGACTCTACGACAACAGCACGGAGGGATGTAACAATATACAGGACAGCAAGCTTTATGTTGAAATAGAAAATAAAAAATCGCTTTCAATCGAGTCTGTGTGCTGTGTGCTGGAGGTTTGTTCAAACGACGGTCGCTTTCCGAGGGGAAAAGCAGGCCGGAGAGAATTTGTCGTTTTGTTCTCTTTCTACCACTAGCAGCTTCCTTGGAGCTTGATATTTGTTTGGCAGTAGAGTAAGAAATTCGCCACGAGCTTGAGTGGCGATATTGGGGAAAAGAAACACTCAGCTGCTTGTATCAAGACCGTTCTTGTGAGTATTATTGACGGGGCGAGCGGCCAAAGCGTCGGCTTAGTCGTTACCCCGTGCAAAGTCGTTGTGCGACCCCGGATCAGAGCTCTTCGTTGGAAAGCCAAGACGATAGGGTAGGATGTATCACCTTCTAGCGGTGGTAACGAAGTAAATGAACAAGGGCAAAGTAAGCTCCTGGACAACATGAGCTTTTCGTACATAGATATGTAGCGTGTTTTGGATGTCGAAATGAGGAGTGCCAATGGACCATGCTCACATCGCACACGGAGTGAAAGCTTATTTTTGTCAGCTTAGCCCCGTGACAATCTCACTTCCGCAGACTTGGCTACATCGCTTACGGCCAAAGGGCATACAAAGAGATCATTTCGAGCGAACCGCTCGACCCCCCGGCTCGACGCCGCACCCCGCCTCCTACCCCACCATGCACACGATTCCGTGCGAATACTGATCGTTGACCTGGGCAGGCCTTTCGACCGGAAACCTCGGCCATCACCGACCACTACGACATGGGAGAAGTACTCGGCGAGGGCGGGTATGGTACCGTGCACATGGCTACTCCTAAGAATCGCATCATGGGCACACCCGCCACTGCAACCTCAGCACCTCCTCCTGTGGTGGCAGCAGTACCAGGAAGAGGACACAAATCCGAGGTCTCGCCCGAGAGCTCGGACGCGGGGGGATCCGACAGCGATGTGTGCGTGGCCGTCAAAAAGGTGTCGTGGTTTCTTCGTAGCTGCGGATTCACGGTGTTGCCAGTCGTTACGTGGTGGGGCTGCCTTGTCATTGGGTGGGAGTGGGCGATGTGATTGCCCGTATGTTTAAGTTCGCCCGAGCGCTCCAGTGTATATAGCGCGCCCCCACACCACCCCGGTGACTTTTTCTGTGCTTTCCGTAGGTATTCCACAGGGGTATTTCAATCTCGTGACACACTGGCATAGTGGACTACCAGCCAGTGGGACACTGGTCTGTCTTCGGCTAATTGAATATACCAACAGTGATGTGCTGCTCCCCCTTCTCCCCAGTTAATTGCGGTATCATAATAAAACGCACCAGAACGTTAGCGGTGCCTCGATGAGAATTATTCTTGCAACCACAACAACCACGTTCGTCAGGTTGATAAAGAAGCGATGGACCAGGCGGAATTCCTTCACGAGCTCTCCGCGTTGAAAATTATCCACGACGCTGGCGGGCATCCAAACATCGCAGGTGATGTCCACCGATGCCGGGGCGGTGGGGGCGCATCGTGCGTGCGTACGCGGTGCGTGCATGCGTTCAATTGTCGCAGCCACCATCTCCATTCCCTGTCCTCTCAAGCATGCCGTGCCGCGAGATAAGCCTTGCGCGTTCAGTGTTGTTGTTCAGAAGGTGTCGAGGGCAGATGTGCTGAGCAGCGTGTACGCCTTTGCGATGGCGCGCGGTGCGACCTTTCGAAAGGAGTGGTGGATATGTACATATTTGTTCCAGCCCTGTTGTTGCGCGACGAATGCGCCCCGAGCTCCCCCCGTGAGTTTCCGTCGCTAGGCAACGACATCGTAAAACACGCCGGTCGCTTCGTGGGCTCGAAAACCACGTTACAGCTTTTTTTTGCCTTTGTTTTTTTTGCGCTGACCATGATGGTGGTCGAGTAGATCATGGTGTGCGGGGTCGAGAACCCTCACTCCGCGCGCAAGGGGGACGATCGCATCACGCTGTGTGAAATTGGAGGAGCACCCTCGAGGCAGTACACAGTGCGTACTACTTTCTCTGGAAGTGAAAGTACCAGAAAAATTATCCGTCTATTCCCAGCTGTCATCGGTGTGCAAGAAAGTAAGCACAAGATGCCATGTATTCTTAGCAGGCTGCAGTGCACTCTCCATGTGACTCGTCGAACACCTCAGGGCGCTTCGCGGTTGATGATGTGCTAGCCTGGTTGTGTGAGAATCCGGCGTGCTCCGTCCCGGCTTGGTAGAGATGCGAGGTCGATGGTCTAACGACTACGGCATGCACAGCCATGAGTATCCACCCCTTTTTAGTCCCTCCAAGAACCTGTCGTTGCTCCAGTTTCCATCGAACCGACGGTGTTCCTCTTTTACTAAAGAACTCTGATCCGGAGTCACACAGGCTAGTTCCTCTGAGGTGCTTTACTTGAAGATGGTTTGAACAGCCCTTCTCTCATGTCTACTCACATTTCCAGAATAAAGCTCACCCTCCCGTTCCTCATTCGTCTATAGTCGGAGTTGACTCCCTGGCCTTGGATGCGATTTTGATTTGCCATAGCTTGAATTGCAGGCTGTATCTTGGACCGGAAACAAAAACTCAAAGTCTGGTCTCATCTATTGGCTGAGGTAGCCTCGCCATTACCTACCCACGCGATATTTATCTTGCCATCTGCGAAGCGACGGGCGCCCACTTCCTCCTGTAACGCTGCTTTCGGCAACAAGGCGGTTCGATGGCTTAAAAAAACATTTCTCGCTCTGGGCCCGCTTCAGCCAGCTTCGAATTTGTGGCGAACTTTCTCGTGTTTCGTCCCTACTTTTTTGCTCTAAGGCACACGTTCCTGCACATACGACACGCCCTCTGCAACTTAGTTTGCTATGTTCGGCATCAGGATGGACGTGTTGTGTATGGGGTCGACAACGCCCAAGGCGTTGGGAGGACATCGCGTTGTTGAGAGCATCCCAATGAGGTGGTATCATGTACCAGATAGCTTTTTTTTTTTCCTCCTTTTTCCACGAACCACTGAGCTATACCACGAGGACTCAGAAAGTACGCGGTTCCTTAAATCATGCGGCGGAGAGCGATGATCGATGCAGTACCGACCCTTTCGTGACAACGTGGGTGCGAGGACAGCTGGGCCAGTGCTGTGAACACATGACAAGGGCAGCGCCGACCATCGGCGAGTGCGACGAGTCCCACAGATAAAAATCAGTTCTAAACCTTTGTGGCGCCACGCAAGGAAGGCAGGCCGGTCCAGCCTAGTTTCGGAGTTCTTAAGAGAGAGTCTGGTGCTGAATCGCTTGCCAGGGATGCGGGAGATATTCGAAGACGAAAGCTTCTACTACCTGGTGTTGGAGCTGGTCTCCGGAGGCGAGCTGTTTGAACACCTCATCCGGAACGGGGCGTACAGCGAGCAGACCGCGGCAGCCCTCCTGAGGGACCTCGCCGCGGCCCTGCGGTTCGTGCATCGGAAGGGTATCGTGCACGCCGACGTGAAGCCGGAGAACCTCATGCTGTCCTCCTGGGACGACGACGACGCGCGGGTATGTTTGCTTGCGTGTGCTTGCTTTGGGTATGTCAAATGAGGTGCATATGTTTGTGACGTGCTGAAGGGTTGATGGGATGCGTGCAACATCTTTGTTACTCCGTTACATGCGCGGCCTGAAGTGTGGTGTCCATACCCGTGATTCTTTCTTCGATGGCAACGAGTGTTCTCTCACAGCAGACCGCTATTAACCTCTCTCCCATCAAGATTGAGACCTTCGACTTTGCGCTGTAATTTTGCGGAGAACTGTTCTTGTCTGGAGTGCAGTATTGACGAGTGTCCTTCTCCGGAAACTCTGCCCCTCTCCGAACTGTGCTTTGTGCACCCAAGAACACTGATTAAAACTCACAGCAGCAATAATTAATCATCCGACAATTCAAAGTGTATGGTTGCTCCGCCTGCAATGTATGGATTGATGGAATTCCACATTAAGAGTCGGCATGACTGGAGAGATGTCGCCCTGGCCTTGGTTCGCTCTGAGTATTTTAGACCCGCCTCAAGCCAGGGACAAGGTACATGCATGTCTTACCAATGCGTGGTCACCCCTTGTGTGCCAGTTTCAGGATTGGCGCTTCTCACGGCGGCGGCGGCATCTCGACGTCCCCCTCCCACAAGATTGTGTCAACGACCGCTAACAGACCTGAACACCTCAAAATTTCCAACGCTTTCCGGTTTTCGGTTGTCCCTCTTCCACCTGTTGCCAAGTAATGACTGGCGTGTGCGCTGTCACTAGCACAACACCAGACTCAGCAAAACAACATTGCTCTTCAGCTCGCACCGCTTCTTCGACGTACGTTTTCAGAGGCACGCACTCTCCCCAAAACGCGTTAATAATATCCGCGTGGCCCCGGAAGGTGAAACTGGTGGATTTCGGCTGCTCGTGCGGCGCTGGGCTGGGCGTGCGGCAGGAGTTGGACCGAGGTGAACGTATCAACGGAACACCTGCCTATTGGCCACCGGAGCTTGTGCAGTGCGAAGACGAAGGCATACCATACAATTTCACCACTGCGGCGGACATGTGGTGAGTGGATGGACCGCGACACAGCTATTTATGCAGAAATGAGCCGCGCGTGCGGGTGATATTGGTTGTTCTTCTCTGTTTCGGATAAACAAGACTTGGGGGATTTTTTGCGAGTAGAAGAGCCGGGGGCGGAGGGGCAATAGACACAAAACGCTTGTACGGCAATATGCGTGTCTAGTCCATAGCAGCAGCAGAGGTACGATACCTCGATACCCTCGCCGCCGTACTGCTGTATGATCTTCCTTGGTTCGGTTTGGGCGTGATGGCGTATGATGTTTCGAGCAAGGCCTGGGTTTATTTAGAGTGCCGTTGAGAGTGTGCTGCGTGGTACAACAACCTACTAACGGACCTCATGGGTTGGCCGATTTTTACACCAGGTTCAGTTATTCCCCATGGAAGGCAAGATAAAGAGGGTAATTTGGTGAAAAAAATAGAAGACGCTGGAATGATCCCTTCCACAGAGACGGTTTTGAAGACGGTAATATAGCACGTGGCGACAGCTTGCAGGCGTCGGTACACCATGCTTCGAGCATCGCGACCGGGTGCTCACGCTTGAATGACTTCTTTCGGAAACTGCTAGATGCCAAAGTTCCTTTCCGGGATTTCCCTCTTGTGCTGTCGTTGTTGTGATAGTCGTCGTTGTCGTCATTACACTTATCGTGCGTTGAATCGACCTGCATCGACTCATTATCCAACGGAACCAAGGGCGATGGGCGTGGTGATGTTCATCATGCTGGTGGGCGTTCACCCCTTCGATCTGGAAGGAGGCACGAGCGACGTCGACATACTTCGCCGGGTCGTCGAGGCCGAGGCAAGAAAGTAGGGGGTGGTGGACGACTTGATTGTTGTTGTCGTTGTGGTGATCTGAAATAATCGAGCGGACCTCTCTCCAGCATCTTACCATCCCTCCTCGTCGAGACAAAGACAACGAAGCACATTCGTGGTCGCAGGCTATAACGGCGAAGAAAACATAAAAAAACTAGCAGGAGAAAGACTTACCGCCAAAAAAAAAGGGAGCGCTTTCTCGAAGTATCAAAACGTCCACTTTAACATTGCCCTCCATCATTGGTCCGAAACAACAAACCGGAGAAGTCTATCGTTGTGTCCTGGTTCGTACTCCTTCTGGTAGCAAGAGTAATGGCTTGCTATTCACCTATTCACCTAGAAGTACCACCTTTTTCTTTCCGTAAAAGAGGCAAATAAAAGGTTTACACGAAGCACTTTCTCGGAAACACTCGTCTTCTTCGGAATGTTCCTATCAGGTCCCGGTCGAAGAAGGCGTTACGGATCACCTGTCAGAGGCCGCGGTGGATCTCATGCAAAAGCTCATGGAGAAGGTAGCATATTCCTTGTTGTAAAATGTCGAGCTGGGTGCGGGTCCTAATGGTCCGAACTCCCTTCAGTGTTATTGAATCTGCCGGTGCAACCTTCCGAAAATATGTATCTCTGGGGTCGCATGATTTTTTCTTCTTCCATTTCTCCACCGGATTTCGGCGAAAAGCAGAGGTTGGGGGACGTGAGGTCGGCATGATCCGTTCAAAACAGGTTTAAAAACAAACTGCATCCCACACTCGACCAAGTTTTCCCTAAGCAAATTTAGCATTTTCTTGGCGGAATCACGTTTTTCTCTCACCAACAAACACAAGAATTATAACCCGCTCTTGATCGAGCTATCCGCAAACGAAACTTGCTCACGGTATGTATTTGGATATCACTAAGGGGTACGCCAGTCACGCGGAATATGTAAGTCCCAAGATATTTTGGCAAATGGTGGCAAAATTGAACCGGATGGACAATCGCCCGCCGCGCTTGCGCTATTGTTGGGTTCGAGCAGTTTTTTAACTGAGAGAATTACCTCTCAAGCTGAAATCCACTTTGTTGTGTGTAGGGGGGACGGTTTGCGAGATTCCGCGACCCCTCGAGTCTTTATCGGGTGTTCTCGTCTTGGCACTAGGCAAGCCCGGAAATCATGGCCATGGCCGAGAGATCCTGTCATTTGATCCCACAACCTTGATGTCTGCATGTGTTGCCCTTTTGCAGAATGCCTTTGGCTCAGCAATAGACAGACAATATGGTGGGTTCTTGAGTTTCATGGTACGAGTAGTCAAGATGGTTGACGACTGCTGCCGGTGGACCCTACGCGTCGGCAGCTCTCGATAGCTGCGGCTTGATATTGTGTTGCATGGAATATATTTGTACTTGATAAGTGTTCCTGGGTGTTCTTTTTTGTGGAAGGATCCGAACAAGCGCCTGTCAGCGGACGCCATGCTTCGGCATCCCTGGACAACTGGCGAACGTGCCAGCCAGGACGTGATGGAAGGGGTCGACGAGAAGCTGGCAGCCTTTCAACAAGTGAGCTGTCGATTGTCAGCGGGTCATCAGACATTCTGCAAGAAATAATGTTGATTTTTTCTGAGGGAAGAAAAACCCACAAAGGACACATCACAATGCACCTAGACGCAAGCCCGCTTTAGCTTGTGTTGTTTGCCATGGTGTCTGGCTGAGTACGGCCCTCGGACAGGAGAGTCCACAATCAAACACTTGTGTGGCGCACATTTTCTCTGGGCTGCTGGCTAGTCGGCTGCTATCATCGTTGTTTTTTCACACCGAAACTACCGCAATATGTTGGGACATCCGGGCTGATGCTGAGGGACAGAGTCGTGTGGGTGTCTTGCCGCATACCGTAAAGGTTTTCCTCGTTCCTCGTGTTCAGTAGGACACGATACACCTTGTTGTTTCTCGTCCTGTTTGTCCTCTGCGTCTGGCTTATTTCTTTCTCGGTCAACCACCGTGGTTCGGCCGCAGTTCGACACGCCAACCCGCTTCGGCGGGGCCCCTAATCTCTCTTCTGCGGGATATACCTGCGGTTTTGTTGCAGGAGGGATGCTTGGTTCAATTGCCCTCCTTATCTTTTGTCGTGGGAACATCGCCCCATCCCCGTCTGCACTCACAATCCGCGGAAACCCTCCTCGTCCCTCTCCAGGTTGTGAAAACCAACCTCGAAACTGGTCTGTTCGCCATCCTGGTGAAGGAATCGCTAAAAAATGGCGGTAGTCCAACCTCTTCTGCCACTGGTCCCGTCAGGGCTACGGGTACTCCAGCAAGGTTTGTTTAGCCAAACGGTGTTTTGTCGGCATGCTCCAGCTCACAGACATCACCATGGCTTACACTAGCAGCGAAGTACTTGTCAGTCTTTCTTTGTGAGCAAATGGGCCGAGCATGGAGCTCTCATTCATGCGCAGCCGAAAAGTTCATCAGCTTGCTTGTGCGTGAATGTATACCTTTTTGTTTCGTTTTTCTGTTCAAAGAAAGGGTATGCGGTATAAATGGTTACCTCATTTTTGGCCAGCTTGGGCTCTCTACACGAACGCCGTGGTTCTCCCCGTGCGTACACGCCACTTTTTTTACGGTCTCGAATGTAGGTGGGTACCTGTATTCCCATCCCAAAACACTCGCGCGCCCTTTGCGACCTTACTTAGCGTTGAGGAGGCCGTGGATGTAATACGTCAGGCATTCTCCAGCTTCGACCAAGAGGGCAAGGGTTTCGTCAGCGCCGCAGATATCTCGAGGGTGCTAGCCGAGTCTGGAGAGGGAACTCTATCGGACGAGGTACGAGCAGCTGGGTATTTTGATAGTTTAACGACAAACAATAGTGCATATTGCCGGAGGTGATTCTCACGCGTGTGTAACCGTTTTCACGTTTCGTCGTCGTCAGGTAGACCGGATGAAATACACGCCTCTAAGTTGGAAGGGTAGGAAAAATTTCCCGTCGTTGCAAACAGAAACGCCCCAGACCATGGAAAGTGGGTGTGTGGTAATTGTACGTGCGTGGTCTATTACGCCGAAAGGAGCTCTTTCGGATTGTGACACATGATTAGATATTAATGTAGTTTTTTCGTGGATTGACAAAGCGACGGTCACGTTTTAGAAACACCAGTAAGAGCGAGCGCAGGCCGCGGGAGTGTCCATATACAGTGGATGAGTATATGTTGCATTGTTGGCGTCTACGATCCATTCCATCGCTAACGTGAGCTCATGTCCAACGTTGGGATCCGAACAAGTCTATCAGTCCATGAAACTGAAAGGCTTGAGCTGGTGTATCTCGTCGCGACAGAAAAATGTGAAGGGCGCTACAGACAACGGCGAGAGCCGAATCTGGCAAAGACACGTTGCAGTGCTGTACCACATCAAACGTCACCAAAACCCAATGAATGGTAGGTTTGGCCCAATGCAAGCCCGGCAATAATGCATAGGACCGGCTGGTGATATTGATGTGTTCACCAGTGCAGTGTCCCGTTGGGGGCATGCGTCGGTGTTGATGTTCGCACTGTACCTCGGCGTCTACCGAACACCGAGCGCACGGGGGCGAGACATGGAGTTGTCTGCGCCAACCCGACGCATCCACATGTCAGCACACCCCCACGCACACCAATCTTCATAAGGAAAACCACTCTTGACCTTTTCCGACATCAAGAAGAATGAGCACGAAATAAGCATTATTGCAGAGGCGCCCGAAGCGACAGACAGAACCTGGTGACGTAGGCTAGAAGCTAGTAGACAGAACAGCTTCAATAAGCCGACAGCTTTCAGGCTGTGCCTGACTTTCTTGTTCCAACTAGAATAGAATTGAGATGAACTCGGTGTTTGCAATGGTTGGCACGTTAGGAATATTTGAAAATGTTACTATCACATGGTTCGAACCGACTTTCTTTCAGAGGATCGGTGCTGCATGAATTGTCCACCACCAATGTCACGTGTGTCCTCGCCTGCCATTCTTGCAGGAGTCGCTGGAGCTCGACAAGGCGGTGGCGAGTGCCAACAGAGGGCAGCGAGGTGTCAACATGGAGAGGTATGTACAGTAGTCCATATTGTATCCGATAGAAGCGCCTATTCCGCTGTCGTAGAATCGAACCCACCTCACCGGGGCACATGGGCATTCCTCCACAGGTTTCTGAGCTACTCCGGCCATGTGTTCAGGGAATTTTCACACCACATCTCCCTTTTTGCTCATGAAACAAAATCACACAACTCAACAGCCTTGTTTGGTGGATCGCTGATAACGGCGTTCCTTGATGTGGGTAGGTTGGTTCTTGTTTTTCACCTCATCCACATCACCCAATGGCCTACCCTGAACTGTTGGTCTATTTCAGCTTCGAGAAGATGATGACTTCCCTCGAGACGGTAGAATTCCAGCGGGGAGATGTTGTTTTCGCTGAAGGGGAAGATGTGGAAGAGTCTCCCTACATGTACATCCTCGGCAGCGGAAAGGTGATACCTTGTGTACGTGGGGTCGTTCTTTTCTCTAATTCTGGCGAAGGGAGGGGTACCCTTGACCTCTGTGAAGGTTTTGGCGCGGTACAGATTACGTCTCGACGCCACCGATACGTGTGCACACTTGTTGAGCGGAGAGCAGGAGTAGCAGTGGCAGTGGCGTGGATAGATCGCCGAAAACATGACGTGCCGCGAGATAAAAAAAAGTGGGTGGATTACTCCTTAAGTTCCGTGTCTTGCACGTTCCCCCCAGTAGGACCGGGGGTGGAGAGACGAAGGTTCATTTTAGTCCGTCTGTCTCAAGCCTTACCTATCACGGCAGAAATCGTCAAGGGTTGGTTGTGAGCTTTATGTCTTGGTTTTTTCCTTCGCAGCGCAAGCAAGACTGAAGTTTGAACTGGTTTCGTGATCACCCTCCCAGGTGGATCTGTTGAAGCGAGTACATGACGGCGCTCCCCCAGTCAAGCTGGCGTCCTTATCGAGCGGCGATATTTTTGGCGAATCGGCCATGATCCAAGGCGGCTCGAGATCGGCGACCGTGCGATGTGCGAGTGAAGTCCAGGTACGTGTTTCTTCACAAAGTGCGATGGCACTTACGTCGTTAGTACGCTCAAGGTGTGAAGAGAGGTGTAGTCACAGGCGCTGGATCGGTGAGGACTGTGGGGGTGGCTGGATATCGGCCGGAACAGCTTTATTAAGTGTACGGAGAATACAACAGCAGCGGCAACAGAACTAATATGGTTGAGTTTCGATCGGGTCCAATATTCCATGCGAGCGAGCATCCGGAGTTAAGTGTGTTTGTCTCATCTGTTCTGGCGCCAGGCTACACGCTTTTCGGTGTATATATCTGCCTTGTCAGCCGGGGTCACACAATAGGAAGGTCGCGCAGACTCTTGGATTCATGGCCAGAGCGCCCCACCTTTCCCCGCGGAAAGAGGGTACACGGAGTGAAATGATGGATGCACTGTAACGCTACCCCCCCCTCCCTCCCCCCAGCACCTCGGTGTTTGCCATTGGGGTTGGGTTTTCGTCGCTTGGCAGCGACGTTGTAAAACAAGCCGCCGCCCCCGGTGTTTGCCATCGGGGTTGGGGTTTCGTCGCTTGGCAGCGATGTTGTACAACAAGCCGATCACATCGTGAGCTTGGCCACCAGGTTACCGCTTTTTTTTTCCTTTGTTTTTCTTTTTGCGGTAACCATGAATGGCGTTCAAGTAGATTATGTTGTGCGAGATCGAGAAACCTCACTCCGCGCACAGGAGATGATCGCACCGCGTTGTGTTTAATTGGTCAAGCACCCTCGAGGCAGTTACACAGTGCATAAAACCATCTCTGGAAGTGAAAGCACCAGAAACAAAATTGAGTCATACGCAGGTGTACGCAAGGAAGTAAGCACAATATGCCGAACACCCTTAGCAGGATGCTTTGCAGGATGCAGCGGACATGCACGCAAGGTCTGCAGGTTGTTTGTACGGAAAACTGGCACCGCCAAACGTTGAGATACAATGATGTAGCCGTGATGAAATTGGCCATGTCCTGTTGCGTCGCCCGCCGGACGTAAACCCCCTAACTCCCGAAGGGAAGCCTTATACGTGGTATCACTTGACTGCTGCGGCGGCACATACGGCGGGTGGCGACGCTCGCGCCGTCTAGGTCATCCATTGGTGCATTTCATGTAGGAATAGGGGTATATGTTATTCTGGGTGAAAATCGTGTCAGATGACTCGGACATCTATCTCCCTTCGGGGTGTTGCCACCTAGAGCCTTGTTCAGACAACGCTCACGAGCACACGTGGTACATTTGTAAGAGTGATCTTTGGCTGTATCGATTGCTGCAGCTGCTGCTGTTGTTTCGCTGCTGATGCCGCAGTCCACTGGTGAAAAATTGTAACACATATACATTCGTGCTGTGCGCAGGTTGCACAAAATCATAGCGGTATTCTGATACTACAACCATACGCGATCAATCTAAACGAAAGTTCGGGAGGATGCCTGTTCTGTGCTCTAGGACACGAATCAGTCCACCGGCGTAGGAAGGCCTCGGCTGCTGCTTCTTGCTGTTGTTTTGAATTGTTGCCACAATATATTTCGTGGCCTGTCACTCAGGCAGGATGGCGGGGCGGGAGTAGGACAGTCAGGGCGCCATATGTTTTACTGAAGTATATTTTTGTCGTTCACCCAATAAAGAACTACGGGAAGTGTACTGAATACAGATGGTTTTGTGCTAATACCAGCTGATATGGCTGTTTTACTTCGGTGTATGGGCTTAAATCAGTATCTAGCGGGTTTGCCTCAATTCACTGGGTACGCTAGCTAGTTGAGGGAGGTGTTACCACGGCGGGTGCCCTCACCAATCAAAACTTCCCTCGTCAACGCCGTACAGTTCCCTATTTGCTACAACTGTCTGCCTAAAGAAAGTTCAGGTGCCCTTCGCCTGTCACCAACAACGCGGAGCGCAACGAAGCAATCAAGGGCACATGACGTTTCACTGCACCTACAGCAGCAAGGGTATTGCTCGTGCAAGCTAATCTGCCAGCTGGTGAATACTTGCGCACCTTCCATATGGCTCCCACCGATGTCACTGTTTGTGGTGGCAACAGGCGGTTCGAATCGGCAAAGACAGCCTCGGACGTATGATGAAGGGCACGAAGACGGCATCCGCCAATTTGAGAGAGGTATGGACATTCTTGCGTGCAGACCAATAGCAGGAGAGACGCCGATGGCAACATGGCAGCAGATATTCGGCTTCAGGAGGGGTTGGGGCCATCGCCCTGTGACCGAGTTCTTGTTGGCTTTTTTCACTGGTGCGAGTGAAAAGGCTTTCGTAGATCAGACCTCCGAACGAGACACCGAGGTGCTTCACCCACGCGAACAGCGGCGGAAAATATCACGTGATTTGTTCTATCAGCCGCCGATATGTCCTATGCACACCTTAAACCCAAGCCTTCTCATACACCTCTTGGATTGCCGAACCACGATTTGTATTTCCTTGCCTTGGCACAGATGTCTATTCTTCGTGACATCAGCCGCGCCAAGACTCTGCTAAGAGCTGTGGGGAGTATCACACAGAGAAGGTTGCCCGCAGGAAGTGCCGTTGTGCAGCAAGGGGATCTAGGAGATTCAATGTACACCGTGGTAGAGGTGAGAGGTTTCATCGCAGGCACTATCAATGACACGGTTGCGGTAGGCATTTTCCTCACGAGCGTTCCGGCGTATGTATGATGTATGCGGGGGTTATAGCATCGGCTGCCTCTCGCCCGCCATGCGAATAGGCGGGACGTTTCAGTATTCTCTTTGGATTGCCCGTTGGTTTGGCGGGTAGACGACGGGACTCATACTCTGTAACTCACGGCGCGATGATTCAAAGCTCAGAGCGGAGTGCGGGGACGAGTCTTCTGCCATCTGGTGGTTTTGCTCATGTCCGCCTCTGTTGCAGTCAATGCCCCCCCCTCGGACGTGCCCCTTGAGTACTGCCAGGTGCCCACGACGGAATACTGTCTGTGAATCATGTGATACTTTGGCTATTGCCAGGAGCTCGCTGTAGAATGGGTAACATTATCTGGCACAACCATAGCTTGGCATTACAAACGTCCTCCCACCATGACAAGAACACTCATCACACCGGTTGGGGGAATATTTCTCAACGTGATTGCCGTGCAGGCTCCTAGAGTGCTGCTCCAGTGCATCACCACTCACATGTAACGGTGGTGTCGTCGCGAGCCCAGGGAACACTTTCTACGGCATGGGACTTCCAACAATTCTCCCGCTGTCTGCGTGCACTCATGCTCACGCTAAAAAGCATTCTTCAAGTGCCCCTGCCACGTTGCGTGGTCATTAGTGCGCATTAGTGCGATTGGACCGAGCATCGAACTCAAATCTTTACTTGTAAAGGTTTTGAGTGCATCCAACGCTACGCGTCCGTTCCCCTGTCCCCGTCTCGATCTCTCTCTGCCTCGCCTTCTGCGGTGCAGCCACTCCGGAAATATGGAAATCGTGGCAACAGGGAGTTTGAACACATATTGATAACGTCTCCATTGTAGACGCCATGCCGGAGGAAAAAACATTTTAACCGCAAGGTGTGCCTCAACTCCACCAGCCAAACGAATATTGAAACGAACTGCGTACCAATAGCAGATAGCGGGGTATGCTTGTTATGCCGCCGACCGAAACATGGGACACTTGGCGAAATTGAATTTCCCATCACTGCATCGGCAGCAAATTCGTCGTTTTGATTCAGGCGATTGGTGCCGTACCTATTTTGGATTCCCAGGGGAAGTTGGACGTGAGAGCGAAAGGTCGAGAAGGAGAAGGCAATGGCAGGGCCGGACACCCGTACGGAGATAAGGTGGCATCTCTCAGGCGAGAAAGTCTTTTCGATCACGACCGAATAACTTTGCCTGCTTATTGACGAGGGTGGTAACCTTTGAGCGTTTATGCATCTACGGCTCTTGCAGGAATACATGCCTGGAGCGTTTTGAAGTGCCGTTCTTTGGTAGTGCCAGTTGGGCGCGGTCCCCGAATGGGAAGAACCGCTTCTGTGTTCAGGTCAACTGGAACGTACTTGGTAGATATTTTGCTGGAACCAACCCCACAGCCTTTTCGAAGCACGATATGGTAAGAGTTGTTGTACTCGAGAAAATGAGGCAGAATACTCCAAACGGCGATAGCTTGTGCCGAGTATAGTCCATCAACCTCACTGTAGATAATCCCGATCGTGAACGAGATTTTGAATGAATTGGAGCACATTTAAGCACCTGGAAGCAGGTGAGGAGACCGTGTTTGATGTATTTTTCAATTTTGTAATTGTGTCAGGGCCTAGTCGAACCGGCGGAAAAATCGGTGTTGTTTGTGCTCTCAAAATTCCCTCGTGGGATGTTCATATATATGTGGTTCTCGAACTCTGCTACTCAGTTGCCCCCTTTTTTTTTCTGCCCGCGAAAGAACAACCGTGATATACGGCCGGCAAATTAAGCCCCCCCTTGTGGGTACCTCCCACCACACTACCATGATGAAACATCCCCCCCGACGCAGACACTGTGCTAGTTCTGTTTTGGCGCTCGAAGCCATTTTTTTCATGTCCAGCGTATAGGCTTTTCTGCGCACACTTCCCCTCCGTCTGTTGAAGGGGTTCGCGTCCACTATATTTGTCGGCAATACCATGCCGAGTGCGACCTCTTTCATTGGAAACCGATAAAAAAGCGGGCCCACAGGTGTTGGCCACCCCTCTCCGCGCTTGCCAATACTTGGCTGGTACTATTGTGATCCAATCACACTCAGAAAACATGTCCGTCCCGAGTTGTCGCCGCTGGTACTGCTGGTGCCAGAGGTGAAAGTATCCTCAACCCGTTGAGTATTTTCCCACTCTTCACGTGATGACGAGCAGATCAGGCTAGCGCAGAGAACCACGCCCCCGCTGGTTCTTTCGGAGGTCTGACCCCTCATTAACGCTGCATGGTTACAGTGAAAAATTCCCCGGCTTTCGCCTGTACTGTCGAAGACGAGGCGCCCCGCGCTTTCCCTTGAAGCCAAGGGACGGAACTTATTATCTGCCTTCTCGAAATGACCACCGGAGTACTGTACGCCACAGCCCGTTTGAATGCCCTGCACGATCTTACCCTCAAGCACGAACTGTCGAACGTCGCTCGAGCGCAAATCCGCGGGCGTTCAAGCGTTTCCGGTTGTGGACGTGATCCTCACGCCGCCCAGTGGACGGAGATGTTCCTGATTGCAGCATGTTTGATCAGATACTTCAAGTATGAATCAAAATTAATACCAACAACGTTTCGGGAGTATTTTTTGTTCCGGGTGTCTTTCATAGTGTCTTTCTGCTCCATACGTTCATCGTCACTCCGGCAGGTGAGAAAAGCCTGCAAAGTGGTACCTTCCGCTGTTGAAATCTCTACGTTTCGCTTGGCAACTAGTTGTGCTGTTCAGCCTCTCTCCTATGCCAAGTCGAATATTGGGGTCATAACATGGACTCCATCTAACCCTTGGCAGTGCCGGAGATGTGTTCGGAGAAATGGCGCTGATGCTCAAGCAACCCAGAAGCGCAACTGTGGTTTGCTCTTCTCCGACCCTGCCGGGAGAGGGGGGCGGAACGGATCGGGTCCCGGGGGGCTTCTGCGTGGTTAACGAAATTAAGGGCGAGGATTTCGTGAGAATGCTCAAACAATCCGATAGCTTCCTGAAGAGCATGAAGGTCATCATGCGCACGCGCCTATTCAGGCAAGCATGGATACGAGTGTTTGCATTTCTGCCGTTGATTGTGAACATCCCTCTTATTCATGCCCATGTTTAACGTTCTTGCGTAAATTATTGATAATAATATATGGGGGTGTTTGATTTGATTAATTGTTTTTGGGTTTGTATATGGGGGTGTTTGGTTTAATTTATTGTTTCTGGGTTTGGGGAGTACATATCGACCATTTGGAACAGATCGAAATCGTGTCTCAGCTGGTAGGTTTGACCACACGGCCCCGTTCCCTGGTGATAGTGCAACGTATGACTCCCAGACGTTTTGAAAAGCACTGGAAGGTAAACAGATGAAATTTGACACCTCGCTTTATAAATGTTTGTCCGCGGGTTCACGACCTAGGACATGGTGAGTCGTGTTTGCAAGTGGCTTCAATAGCTCCCCGCATACGGGTCACATGATTTCCTCGGCGTATTTCACAGGCGCGCGATGCTGCTGTTGACAGCTGCAGGAACCGAAACCCTTTCAAAAGAGAAGATGCGTGCTGCGTTTGAAATGGTCGACACGGATAAGAGTGGATATCTTGACGCCAACGAGGTCTTGGAGGCGTTGAAGAAACTCGAGAGCAGTCTTGGCGAGGTATGTTCACGGAGTTCGTCCTGAAACATGGTTGAAAATTCGGTCTGGCGTTCGAATCACGATACTTGGCTTGGACTGCCGCATTCTCGTCATTCAAGATACAAGACTTGGTATTTCGAGGTACACGAGGACAGTGCAGGTTCGTGTAAAGGGTACTGTTGGCCGAACCGGATGATTGTATACCCCAGTTCGAAGAACCAGGGCAAGGCCAAAGCCAAGGGCGACGACGATGGCAATGCCAGGTCCGTCAGAGGTGAGTGCGCAGAACGTTGACATCTTCGAATTTTTCCGAACGGGTTTTGTTGTTGTTCTCGTGAGATTCTGAGACGGAGCTCAATACCGAAGTCTTTTTTTGAGCCCCGAACACACCACCTCCTACACACTAATTCCTCTGTTTGCTGCGGGTGGCAGATAGCTGTGCGCACGACACTGGCCGCACCCCCCCCCCCCCACCCGCTTGTCGTCGGGATCGGGATCGGGATCGGGATCGAAAGGGAGACGCA